TTAATTTAACTATTTTCTTTTGCTCATGATTTACTGAAAATTAAAATTGTTGGAAAATAATTTTCCTGCTACTTATTCACTATAACACCTTACAAAAATCGGGCCAATTAACCTTATAGAAATCCGGAGAGAATTTACTATGTTGGTGCAAAGGTTATAGTGCATATTGGGCAATTCCTATAGCTTCTCGAAAGCCAAATGGTTACCTTAGCTGTCATATATTTATGTAAAAAATTGTGTTGAAAAAATTATACTAAAGAAATTTTTAAATGCTTTCAAGTTTGTTCTGGAGCTAGTTAATAGTTACAAGTTTAGCAATATGTATGTTTTTATCGTGTACAATTTTTCATTTTATTCTACTTTTTATTTTATTTTACCATGTATCTACTTTTCATTTTAGAAAATACATCCAACTGATTGAAGCCAACAGTTCTCTAGTCGCTGTATATATCCCATACACGTACAAATCATCCTATGTACTCGAATTAAATAGAGAAAATGTCAAAAATGAGAATATAGCCAACGTATCACAACCCAATTGAACTTAACAAAATGCAACATTCTTAAAATGTTTTTAATACTGTATTCCAGAACAAATCGAAACTTTCCTGCTATTATAAATATTATAATAGTTAAAAATTCCATTTTAGGTTAGATGTTCTACCTAATCTTAGTTTTATAACGCCACTAGCAGCGCCATCTCCCAGAAAGTTTTAAAACCTATTTGAACCAACATTGCTGTATATTTTACCCCTACAATATCTATTATGGGATAAAAATAATATAAATTATTGCAAGATGATAATATTAATAAAAATATTCTTATAAAGATAGCTGATTCAATTTTTTTCGTAAATTCCTCCCCAATTGTTGTGATAGGCTGGCAGATTCTCGTTTACTCCACGCAATTATATCGGTTGTGTTTCATTTTTTTACATTATCTGTATTTTTCTCATCGCAATCGGACAAATACGAAGAGTTTATAATTTTAAGTGAAAAAGTTACGAAGCACAAATATAAACGTTACATCAACATTTGTTATTTTTGTTTAACTATTTTGTTTCGAGTTCACACTTCCTGTCAGGTGATATGAGTGGTGATGTGTATGTGACAAATATAATAAAATAAAGAAAATGATTAAGGCCAATGTGTTTGAATGTTCTTTTAACCTGTCCATAAAATAAAATGTAGCAACAACTATTTTGTATCGTTTCTATTTTAATTCAAAAAGTAGATGTAAGCAAGTCGATCATTTTGAGGTAAAGATTATCAGATTACTCTATGGTATATCTAAGCTCAGCACTGATGATGGAATCACTCAACAACAAACATGACACCTCAAACTTACATAAAAAAATGAAAGAACTTTCAAGCAACGCCAGACAAAGTAGAACACTCATGACAAGAGATAATAATGGTGGAATACTTACTGAAGAGAGCTAAATAAAGGAAGTATGGGAACAATATATAATCCATCTGTTCCATGACGAGAGGGAAAATGAACAAGATATAGGTGAAAAAGAACAATACCTACAAATTTTACCCTCAGAAGTAAAGCATGCCACACAGAAGCAAAACAAGGAAAAGCGCCGGGTACAGATCAAATTCCAGAACTGTTAAAAGCCTTAGATGACGGTAATATAAAGAGATTCACCCGAATTCTCAACCACATATATGTAGAGGGCAACATCCCGGAGGAATCGCTTAAATCGATATTTTTAACTCTGCCAAAAAACAACAATCCCAAATCATGTAATGACTATAGATTGATAAGCCTAATGTGCCACCCTTTAAAGATTCTCTTGAAAATTGTTCAAAACCGAATTTATAAGAAATGTGAGGAGCATATAAATGAAACGCAGTTTGGCTTCAGAGGAGGCATGGTTACAAGAGAGGCATTATTTGCGTTGACGATACTCTTGAAGAAATGTCGGGAATATAACAAGAGTGCATATGTATGCTTCATAGACATTGGGGAGGCCTTTGACCGAGTGCAGCATCTGAAGTTTTTAGATGACTTAATAAAAAACATCAATTTAGACAAAAAAGACATTGAGTTTATTAAGGCTATATACCAGAAAGCAGTAGTAAAGGTGAACGATATAGAAACAAATAATATACCAATTGTGAGAGGGGTCAGGCAAGGATGCGTCTTGTCTCTGACGCTTTTCAACGTGTACTCATAGGTCATATTCAGAAAAGCCTTATGGGAAAGAAAAGAGGGAATAGGAATTGGTGGAGAAGTCGTAAACACCATGAGATTTGCAGATGACATGGTAATTATGGCTGAGAGTGTAGAAGAACTACAAACTTTACTAGACGCAATAAATAGATAATACATTCAAATGGGACTTGATATCAACACAGATAAGACTAAATTTATGATAGTATCAAGGAGTCCAATAAATAATGTACAACTAACCCTTGGTGGGCAGCAAATAGAGAGAGGAACAAAATATCAATGGCAAGGGCAGCGTTCTTAAAATTCAAGCAATTGTTCGGTGACAAAAATCTGAATACTGCGCTGAGGCTGAGGTTTGTTGAATGTTACCTCTGGTCCCAACTACTGTACGGGGTAGAAACATGGACGTTACAAGCACAGATAGTTAAGAAGCTTTGAACTTTGGATATACCGGCCAATGTTGAGAATTCCATGAACTGCCAGGGTCATCAATGAGGAAGTTAGAGAAGGATGGGTCGAGACAAAAAATTCTTGAGAACAATAAAAGTACGCAAGACTGCATACCTTGGACACATACTGAGGAATGATAAATATAGTCTTCTGCAGGGTAGAGTCGGTGGCAAAAAGGGAATAGGTAGAAATAGGAGGTTATGGCGGCGAAATATTCGAGACTAGACAAACATGACTGTAAACGAAGTATTCCTCGTTGCAAAAGACAGAGAAACTTTTAGAAATGTGGTCGCCAACCTCCGTTAATGAGGACGGCATAGAAAGAAGAAGATATCTAAGCTCGGTAGAGGATTTATTATTTTTCTGGTTAAAAGTCATTCCGTAATAAAGTGCAATATAAGGAAGTTATAAGTTATATTAAGTTGCTGATTAAAAAGAAAGGCTTTTCTTTCTTAAAAAAATTTTAAGGGTGAAAATCTTTATAAACGAAATAATTTTAAACTCATGGTTTAAAGAGAAACATTACATATTTATTATTATTTCATATACACAGTTATTACAAATAAAATTATCCAAATTTATCAACCAACCTTACATTCAATTTAACCTTTTAACAAAACAGAATTTAAAATTTTGGTTATGTACCAAATGACAGAAAAGGATAATACTGAGTGTCATATGTCGAAATGAAATATCAAACTTTTTAATTTGTCATGAAAGTATATTAACGAAGAATGTTTATTTAATTCAGAAAAATGTAATAAAAGTACTTTGCTTCACTGACTGATTATTTCTTGTTACCTTGGAATTGGATATAAAAAAATACACTGTTCCACACAAACTTCAAACGATCTGGATTCGACCCATATGAGACAAAATGGAAACTGGACAAATCTGTAGAGAGGTCAAACATCGAATTGGGCTTCAGTTTATCCTGATGATAACAAATGTATTGTTCAAAACTCAGCTGCTTAATTTTCACTTAAAACTATGTGGGCCTCACTTAGCCCTCAGAAACGCTTTTTATCAAAACTCGTGACACGGATTACGGCAACAAACCAGTGATTATCTCGCTTCATAAAGGCTGCCAAATAGCGATTGAGCTTAATCGCCTTTTTCTAGCCAAAATTCATTGAATTAAAATGAAATTTTACCGATTTTTAAATATGTTTTTAATCTGTCTCTCCGACTACTACACTTTACACTATTTAATTCCCGATGTTACCAAATTCTTCGACAATCGATGTAAATCGAAGAGTGGTCACATCCTCTAAAATCGGCATAAATATAAACGGAAAGATTCCTGAAAGATCAAACGAAAGAGAAATTAAAATTATTATAAAAAGACTGAAAATGTTTATATTAGCAATCTCAGCGTTGCAAAAAGATTAAGAAACTTTTCGGTGTTTTTCATATAGGTGAAATGAAAATACTACAAAATAGTTATACGTTTATATAGAATCAAAAACAGCGTCAGTCTTCTTTATCTAAGCTAGAGCAACCCACACTTTCACAAAAACGTAGGTTTCATTCAAAGCCAAACAGATATTTTATAAAAACTATTAACAGAAAGGGCAGGTTATGCTTTTGCTGTACTTTCGGGTACTCCAAATTTTACGTGTGAAAAATTTTGAGATTTAACTCATATTTTACTGGAGTATAAGAACTCAACATTATATCATGATATCTCTCAGATCGTAAATATGCGAAAACCTCATGAAGAAATCCAACAAATAAAAAAATATATAAAATATTACGTATTTCGCCCTAAAAGGGCTCTTCAGAACGGCTAATTACGGTCACTCTGAACGTGAAAATAAATCTCTTCTGTCTTAGGAAGCAACTCTAACATGGCTTCGTATGGAAGCAAATAGCGACAGCTGATATTAAAATCCGTAAACTAATTTTCGAAGCCAAATTCGTCGACTTATTAAATCATATAAAACAGAATAGACATGTATAGCGGACAATTAAAAGAGAGATACAATTAACTAATGAAACATGGATGGAAGAAAGGTGCGACGAAATGGAGGAAGTGATATCTAGGCATGGCTTATTTATGTACACCAAAGAGTAAAAGAAATTAGCAGCATATTAAAAAAAAAACAAGTTCCTCCTGTAGTAGTTTAACAATAACAATAAAATCATTGTTAATGAGAAAACAAAAACAATAATACTGGATCCCATCAAAATTGTATTGAGGTCCAGAAGTTATGACATCTGAGGTAGAGTATGCTATAAAAAAATGCTAAAATAAGGAAAGCTTGTGGTCCAGATGATACACCGACTGCGTTGCTAAAACTAATACATGAAGATACCCTAAAAGTAGTAACAAAGATTATAGTCTATATTCTTTGGTAGTACTTACTTGGTAGTATAAACTTATAATGCAATATTATAACATTGGAGTAATTCCTACAGACTCGTTCAAATATTTGTCGGAATATCTGAAAAATATAATGAGCCACACTCTTATAGCAACACCTACAAAATCTCCATACAACGAAGAGTTAGACAAAGTCTCCAACATTGTTCAATGTTTACTCCGACCATTAATTTAACTTGTGAGGCAGCAATATGGAATAAAAATCAACGATGAGTTACTTGATGTCATTATATATGCGGACGATATAGTAATTCTGTCAAAAAACATTGAAAGTCTTCAAATTCTGCTTGATTGTATTCACGAAGTAGGAAAGAAAATGGGTATTAAAATAAACTCAAACAAACCAAATCATACAATATTCCGCTGAGAAATTTCAGACGTTGGTTTCATTTAGGTGGACTATGGACGAATTGTTCATCAAGTGTACATATGGTGAAAATCGTATTGTTGTTAAGAGTACAATAATAATACAATATAGAGTGCTGTGTTTAAAAATCCAAAGTGACTAATGAAATCAGAAAAATGGTAAATCTGGCAATCTTGCAAGCATCAAATTTGAAATCTCAAGGGTATCTCTGACGTACATCGGTTTTTGTACAATTCGGACCATCCATTTAAGAGATAATTAAGCGTTTCCAGACTTTCGATCCACTCTGTATAATATATTTATTACATTTATTATTTTTTTCAATATTTTAGTGGCTGGTTGTGGTCTGTTAAATTATTCTTTATTGAAAAGTGTTTTGGTTCAACACATAAATTAAACACCCCTGGTAGGATTCGAACCTTAACCTTCATGGTTCACAGTCACGCATTCTAACCACGACACCATCGATGATTAATTTGGGTATGAATGTGATAGTCTGTCTATGACAGCTAATGTCAAATCAAGCTTCTTTATTAGTACTAATTAAAAAAAATAGAAATAAACTTAATTTTCAAAATGAAAATTACATTAACAGACCTGAAAGAAGTTATTAATAATGTTGACTGTTTGCTCGAAAATGAATTGCGCGATATTGTGGAAAGTTTTTATTTCGAATCGTTAATTAGTATAAATGTAGTAGACACAGAATATTTCAGGTAAGTCCCATAGTTTGGATAATTATAACATAAATTTTATTAAGCCAGAATTGAGTGAAATGAAGCAGTAATATTTTAGAAATAAAAATATAAGATGAGGTACTTTTTAAATATTTTTTTAAACTTTAGTTTTTGTTAAATATCTCGGAGTGCGTAAACCAATAATTATAAAATTACTTCTTATTTGACGTTTGTTTCCAGATCGGGTGATATTTTTAAAATATAAAAAATATATCTTATTGAAAACAAAACAAACTAATTTTTCATAGTTTAACCCTTAAAATCATTAATTTTAATTTGTTTACAATTTTTTTTATTTCGATGTACTTATACGGGATAAGGTTTTAACACCAAATGCATACATTTTTTTCGTAATTATTTGTGATTTCTTAGAAAATTGCCATCACATATATGTAGCGCTAGGAAGATAGGGAGCAAAAATATTTCAAATATTCCCTATTATATATCTAAAAATAACAGAAAATACAAAACGAGATAAATGAAAAAAAAACATAATCAAATTATTGTAGATGAAAATGTTGCACTCGATGCATACTCCCACGTTGCACTTGCAACACATGGTACCTATATAGTCCATTTCCATCATATTGATAGCACATTATGTATGCAAATCCCTAAACTGTTGATACGGGTGACTCAATGAAAAATAGATATTTGTCAACAAGTTTACAGAAGTATATAGGAAAACAATTTTAAATTGAGTATGACCATCAGATATAAAGGTTGAAGCAGAATAGAATACAATAGTTTTAAGGGTTACTAATCCCTAAATAAAGTTGCCAGTGTCGGAGTGATGGAGATTAACAGGTACTAATGAATTTGCAAGAAATGTAAGATGTTATTGGTTATATATAAAATAATTTGTGGCCGTAACAGGGGCCGATTTGTAAAAAAATGAATATTATTTTAATCAAATTCCATTTCAGATTCACTGCTTTCTTCAGAGTCTATGGAATCTTCAACTTCAATGTTAGTTATTACCGGTTCCAGCATTGCATCAGTCATATTATCCAAATTCCACATTTTATTTTCTTCCTTGTTAGCATGACTAACAGCATTTTTCCAATTTTCTGGAGTTACTTTTAATAAGGAATGTTCTAATAATTGTTGTAAGTGTTCTCATTTAAAAATTTTATTGATGCGTCCGACTTCACTTTTTACTTGAGATCATATATTTTCTATCGGATTCAGATCAGAGTGGTATGGGGGTAAACGTAACATAATTACATCATGGTTTAATGCCATTTCATCAATTATATATTTTTATATATACGCTGCTTTATGGTGCCTTACAATAGGTAATAATTCCTTTTTTGTTGAATTCTCCTTGTACTCAATTGCGTGTTTATCCAACCATTCGATTATCTCTCCTTTTTTCCATGCCGTTGTTGGCAATTTTTCTGCTATTCTTGAATGGTAACTAGCATTATCCATGACTATGACATAATTTTTTGGAATTAAATCCAACATTTGCTCAAAATATTCTTCAAAAACGTCAGCAGTCATTTCCTCGTGGTAATCTTTGGTTGATTTTGAGGCAAAACTTAATAATCCACCATTGACAAAACCGCATTCGGTTCCAATATGGGTTATTATGAGTCTGCGTCGTTTTCCAACGGGAATATTGTTTATTCCAGTAGATAAACCTTCGATGAATGCCTGACGGGAACTTTTCACATTTGTATCATAGATATGGTACAGTATGACCTTCATTTAGCCAAGTCTCGTCCAAATAAAAAATTGTTTTCCCTTCTTCTCGGTACTTTTTAATAGTTCTTAGATAATCTCATCTCCAACATACAATGTAATCTTTTTCAATTAAAATGGATTTTCTTCTATTCTTTTGCCAACGAAATCCCATCTCTCTCAATGGGCCCCATAATTTCTTGTTGCTTATGATTGGTAACTCTTCGTTTTCTCTAATTAATGTTTGAATTTTATCCAATGTTGGAAATTCTTTGTTAAAAAAAATGAGTGGACGCTGCGTCTTATCATGTTTTTATGTATTTCTTCAATTTCCAAAACTCGTCTATTTTAGTTTTTGATGAAAATAAATCGCCCACAGAGCCATATTTTTGATGATATGATGATCTCCTTAACTTCCTTTTTTCAATACATCACTAATACCCAATCTTTAATCATGGCCGAATTTCGTGAATGTACTATAATACACAGGGGTAGTTATTGCGATTTTTTTAAGGATAGAGAAGAATCTCTCCTATCCTTCGGAGGCCATAGGCAGCTATAGGAAACCCTATCGGAGGATGCTCCGATATTTTCAACGCCTCCTACAATGGGATATATTGTGAGATCTTTTCTAGACTTCTAGGCATAAATCATTGAAAGCACTTAGCAATTATTGCAAAAAACACTGAGTTTTTATTTTGACCCAAACTATCTCCCGAAAGAATAAATTAATATACTAGTTAGGTCATGTACATCTAATCTATGCTCTCTTATTTTAGTATCAATTATTGCCACACCTAGGCCTACTCTAATATACCTACTTATTATTAATTTTATCCTTTTGTCATGCTACTCAACCACTTATACATTCTCAATTCCGCCACATGCAGTCGTTGTTCCTTTATGTTTTGAAAAGTTATTTCTCATTTCTCATATATTGAAATAAAAAGGACCCCAGGTCGAAGAAGAATATCCTGGCTTGCTAACCTGAGAGCACGGTATAGAAAGGTCGTCATAGCCAGAATATCACTAACGGTCGGAACGGACAGGCACTCTAAGAAGAAGAAGATTTCTTGTTTGTTTTTTTTATTTATTCCTTGTTGAATAAGTGTACATTATAACTAAGGATCATTAAAACAAAATCAACAAAACAAGATATAATTTTTTTAGACAAAATGAATATTCCTTATTTTTGTTTTAACGTATTTATTTTGTAGATTGCATATAGTCCTTCTGGATAAACTAATCAAACTTGATTTGTTTTGTCAAAATGACCATGCCGTTAAAAATACCTTCCAATTTATTATATTTCATTTTAAAAATCTGGAGGATGGGAACTGCTATGAAATTTTGGGATGGCTGTTCAGTTTGTTAAACGCATTAGTCCGAAGGTAAGTGTTTAATATGTTTTTAATATTCTTAATTGAAGACACAAGTGCGCGAGGTTTATAGTTAAATTACTGTGGTAGTTTTACATTAAAGTACCACAATTGTAGAGAGTGAGTCATGTTTTGATGATTTTTATAGGCCGGTACAATTGGACGTTTACCCTATAGAAAAAAATATTTTTGTTCCGACAAAATGAAAAAAATTAATTAATATTTTTAATAGAAAATTAGTGGATTATTGCAGAATCTATTTAATCTCGTAAACATTGACAAAAACCTTCTTCTTTTGACTATCCAATGAATATACGTTCAGATAGAAGAGATCTCATTTTATATGAAACGCATTTTAATAGTTTTACTGGTCTATTTTTAAGCTATTCGAATCTTTTTGCAAACATTTGGGTTCTAGAAAAAATTTAACGTTGCCAGCTTGTATGATTCAACTTATCTGTAGATAGTTATCTGTAATGTTGCAGATTATATCTTTCTCTAAAGGTAGATAATATCTGAGATCAACAATTTTGTCCCAGATTAAGGCGATGTAACTGACAACAACGTAATTGTTCGGGTAGTCCTTTTGCTATGCCATCTGTAATTTAGTTTCATGATAAGCGCACTGACAGGGGTTTCATAAAGCAGAGAATAGAATTGGTTGTGAGTAATTTAGTTTAATCCAATTTGATGACAAATAATAAATATGATTGACAGTAGTAATAGTGAATCGGGTATCAACAAGAAACCTCCCAATTTACCACGCCAAGAAAAAACTATGATCGAAAATGTGTTTGAATAAAACGACTTCGAGCCAAAGAACAAAATATGAATTTAAGCGATGTAGTTACATTATGTAGTATTTTGCCAATATGTAGTTTCAAAAGCTAGTGTGTACAGTGTAATTAAAACAGACGATGAAACAAACGATAATAATCCTTTGAAGGTTGATACAAGAAGAAGGAAACCAATAAAATTTTGATGATACAACCGAATAGACTATTTGTCGTAACGTAAATTAATTTTATTGCAAAAAGGAATTACCAACTATAAAAAATTGTTTTTTTCTTTTCAATCTGCTGAAAATATTCCAAAAATATCAACACGTGTTTTGTTACGCTCTTTACATGAAATGAACTTTAGGTAGAATCTTAAACAGAAAGAGGTATAATACCCTTATTGAAAAAGAAGAAATTATTTTATGACGCAGAAAGTATCTGAAACAAATAGCAAAATTTCCAAGGGATGAAAAAAAAAACATACTACACATATGAACCATGGTAAAATGAAGGACATACTGTGGCAAAAATTTGGCAGGATTTAAATGTGAAAAACAAACGATAAGCTTTTCTAGATGGTTTGTCGACAGACTTAACCCAAACAGCACAGTACGTTTTAAGTAAGTACAATTTTTGTACTGTACGTACATGATGTAAAATGTACGTTTTAAGTACGTACATTGGGGTACATACCAGTACGTACAGAAGAGTACGTACTTATTATGTCTTAAGTATGTACCATGAGAAAGAAGAGTTAAAGCATATTTATTATGTTAGGTTATGTTAACCTAACCTAATTTATTTAGTTAGGAATTTTACACCTCGAGTACAGTTGTAATGTGATAATTCATTGCAAGACAGTTTCATTTAGATTTTTTTTACTTATTTTTGGTGTTTGGTGCTTGTGGTTTCCGGCTGTGTTCCGGAAGTGTGTATAGTATGTACATAATATATATATATATATATATATATATATATATATATATATATATATACATATATATATATATACATATATATATATATATATATATATATATATATATATATATATATATATATATATAGTATATACTAAATACATACCTTCATTATGTACTAGGTACGTACTTTCAGTACGTACCAGATACGTACCATAATTTGGAAAATGTACGTTTTATGTACGTATTAAGTACGTACTTGGTACAGCAAAGTACGTACATTGTACGTACTTTATGTCCCATCAGTACGTACTTAGTATGTCTTATGTACGTACTTGTGCTTACTGGGAAAAACCCCAAGTATACAGTAGATCTATTGTTTCATACTTATATATGTTATTCATATTTTGATAATTTGTTTCAGAAGCGCAGATGTTCAAAATATTAAAAATTTCCTCTCTTTAGAAAGAGAAAAAATTTTGGAGGCGATGACCGCAACGATGAAGCTAAAATCATTTAATTTTAGTCACATGAGTTTTATTAAATCCATAACATGTGACTTATTATCAATTGATGGATGTGTTTCTGAATCACATACGATTACATTAAAACAAATTATGGATAATTTAGAAGGATTAGGTGGAATTTATGAAATTGTTGAGATATGCCATGTAGTGATTGAAAAGTAAGTTAGAATTGATCAAAATTTCTCCTTTTTTTTCTAAAATTTTTCTTTTATATTTAGCACATGTTTGGTCCAAATGTGACTCTGCTCGTATGCTCTGATGGCTGCTTGAGCTTAAAAATCTCTACTTTGGTTTTACCATACTCTATTCACTAAACTGTCTGAATTGTGTAGTAAATTTAATAACAAATATTTCCAATGTTGAATTTTACTTTAATCCTTAATGATAATTATGTTTTTCTATAAAAGTAGATGACCCGAATTCATTACCTTAGACACCAACTCCAAAACTAAGATAGACTCTTAGATTCTTCTCATATAAAGAAATTGGAAGCTTTTGAAATATGATGCAAAAAAATATTAAAGATTTAATGGATTGAAAGAACTACAAATGCTGAAATGCTGAGACGTCTACAAAAGATCCATTAAGAATGCCCCCAGAATGCTTTGCATACTAACTGGATCTGGATAAAGATCCGACCTAGCTGACAATTACATACCGTACTTATAGTTACCGCTAAGAATTCCTGAGTTTTAAAGTGATTTTCAACTCGGATGCCATAGACTCCGACATCTGATTGCGTTGGTTTGGCCAATTTCTCAGTAATTTTACCAATTTGCTGATTAATCGGCCGTTCCACTTTCAGTTGATTACACCGGAGCCCAGTCATGTATTTAAGGATCATAATGACAGTTATTTCATGCAAGGCGGTAGGTATCACAATCTAGATTCAATTGTTAAGAGCAATTCTGAGTCCTATCTACCACGTTTTCGGGCCTAGGAACCGACCTTACACACCGGCTCCTCACCCTCGCAAGCGAATGTCAATATGAATGCATTTAAACAAGATCCTCCATTACGGTAAATTCATCAGAAGCACTGGTGCTAGCTGTAAAGGCAGGGTATGAGCTTCAGCTTTCGTTTATGTTCTATCTTATTTCTGTCAAAACCGAAGCTGCTACGAGTTTATCACCAGATGAAGGAGGCTTGTAAGCTATAACGTGCAATTCCACTTTGACCGCAGTCTCTGTGTTGTACGATCATCCTTCAGCCTTTAATTCCCACCTGCGAATCGTAGGTCTGTTAGGCTGAGACATGGCTCAAACCTCCCATCATGATTTTTAATTTATCTGAGGGTTATCATCCCATTAGTGCTGATGCTGCTGTTAACCCATCAGACTAGATGACTCAAGAATTTCGAAAAATGTTTACTGCACTTAGATTATTCCCGAGTCGTCGTGAATCACAAGTGTCTGCTGATACTAGATAATCATGCTAGCCATATTTCGCCAAACGAGCTTAACATTTGTAAAAACAATGGAGTAATACTACTCACCATTCCACCTCATACTAGCCATAAGTTACAGCCCTTGGATACCAACGTTTTTTGGCCATTTAAAATATTTTATAATGAAGCAGCCGATAACTGGATGGTTAACAATCCTGAACAGCTGATATCCTTAAAAGAAATGCCTGAACTTATGGGAAGTGCTTACGTTCGCGCTTTTACACCTGCCAATATTATAGGTGGGTTTTCACATACTGGTATTTGTCCATACAATTCAGCTGTATTTACAGATAGTGATTTTACCAGTGCGGAAATTACAGACCGGCCAGATCCATCTCAAGCTTTACAGGCTACAGAAAATTTACTTTTGGCTACTCCTCATACTTTCCAAAATATTCCAAATGGATTTGTAAGCCCTAAGGTTATAGGCCATTTCCGAAAGCTCTTCCACGTAAAAAGAAAGCTGGAAGAAAATGTGGGAAAGCACGGATTTTAACGGACACCTCCGAAAAAGACCAAATAGAAAAAGAATTTGAAGACAGAGCTAAGAACAAGGAAAAGGAAAATAAAAAAAGGAGGAAAAGGTAAAAAGATTAAAAAAATTGCCATTAGAAGATAACATCAAGTGTCAGATAAACAAGATGAAATTTAGATAGTCATGGAGGACTTTGAACAATCTAACAATTCTTTCAATTTTTCGAGTTCTGATGAGTTAACTGATATTAAGGTACAGATTAACAAGAAAATGCTGAAGAAAGCTTTATGAATCAAGACGTTTGTAAGAATGACTATGTTCTTGTACGATTTTCTACCAAAAAGATTTTCCGACATCACATTGCTAAAGTCATAAATATTAATGGCAACTATTACGATATATTGTGCATAAGAATAAAACCTCCGGAATACAAATTTATTTTTCCCGATGTTGCAGATGAATGTTGTACACCGAGGAACGATCTTGTTAAGTTACCAAACCCCTCCTATACTGGAGGAACAGCTTGAACACATAGGACCCTTTCTTTTTCAGTATTTTTTCTAAATATGAAAATTTATTCTAATTAGATGCATACTATTTTGGTATATTTTAAATTAAATAATATATAGGTAGATACTTTCTTTAATAAATTTGATTTTAACTCATGACTTTATCGTTATCTACTACTCTAGCCTCGACCCTCCCTATGCTTACCTTAAACCTTCCTTTGCTTGTCTCAAGCCTCCCTCCATAAACCCATAGTTAATCAATATGTAAAAAACTTTTTGCAATTACTAAAGCAAGGCAGAAAATCAGGTCGCTGAAAAAAGTGGTTCACTCTCCCCAGTGTCCTCTACCTACTCGTATATACGTGCCTACTTTGTCTAATTTCCGATTGAGTGATAAAATTAGTAATTTTTAATGATAAATGGTCTATTTAAGCGGACTTTCCTTTGAAAGAGATGCGTTTTGATGTGCGAAATATCTATGGTGTGTATTAAACCCAAATGCTGTTGTATTTTAATATTCTAAAAAAACACCTATATCTTCTTTTCAGATACGACGTTTCTACTTCAGCATTTGAAATATGTGCTGTGTGGATATTAACTAAAGGATCACAACTTTTATCTACGGTAAGTGACATATTGTTTCCTATATATTTGCTTAAATGTATGCAACTATAAATACGCTGTTGTATTGAGCATTACATAAATTCAGGACAATTGTGTTTCTTCCCATTGGACAGTCCATTATTATTTCAAATTATATTTAATTATTGAATTTGATTTTTGGTTGTGACATGGCATTTTGTAGTATTTGTAGAACTATAACTATACCTTAAATACATCTATGATTGTATATATTATTGGAAATTAAGCAAATAAAATATAAAATAAACTTTTTAATTTACCGTTCGGCTTACAGATTAGAAGCTTTTTCAAAGTATATTTTTATTTAAACCAGCTAGGTATCTTTATTGTTAACTACCGACGACTAACTTCTATATATCTCTTTAAAAGAAAAGTCATAAAACAAAGATATGTGACGACCACTCAGCGATATTCCTGAAAGTTATTCTGCCAAAATATTTATGCGAATACTTTTTATTATTCACACAACTTTGTTAAGAGGAGGGTAATTTTTATTTATCGCATGGCGCTTGACACATTTACATTTTAATTGACATTTATTTTGTATAAAACATAATACATATGTTTACAATCGAACATTAACAATCAATCAAACAAACAGTCTAACTTATTTATATCGTCTATCGACTCTGAAGGGGTGGATTTGATAAAGCAAGCAATTATTCTCATTGTATTGTTCAATTGGGCATCTAATTTGTGTATATGTGGGCTGTTAAGCCAGGCTGAAGAGCAGTATTCCGCGGTTGAGAAGACAAGGCACAGGGCAGATGATCGCAAAGTAAAAGCCGATGCTCCCCATGTTGTGCCGCACAGCGTCTGGATGATGTTGTTTCTGGATTTAAGTTTGTTCGCTGTTTTTGGCAGATGTTTCTTGAAAGATAGGGTTCTGTCAAGAGTCACCCCAAGGTACTTTGGCGTTTTATTGTAGGCGAGTGTGGTGTTTTCGAATTGGATGTTGAATGTTCTTCCTGCAAACTTCTTATTTAGGTGGAAACTAAAAACCTCTGTTTCGGTAGCGTTTGGTTGGAGCCTCCAGAGTATGGTGAGATTATAAGTCTCTCGAGGTCTTTTTTTACCCTCGGGTTTTTGTGGAAATTTTTGGTTGCGGATTTTGGTGAATTTATTTGTAATTGAATCAGGGTCTGTTTCGTTCTAAAGACTCTCTGGCTCAATATTTAGAGTGGAGACAGATCCCTACATATTTGTGTCTCTGAGCTCAGAAGAGTCACTCATTTCTGAGCCTTCTTCTAAGCTATTTCTTTATTATACTATTAGTAATCGTTGTTCCTATGAGTTGGGATGGAATACTGACTAACTCGGCCGTACGCTTTTATCACAATAAGATTATAGTACCCCAAAGTTCACGATCTTTAAGGCATCGCTTAGGGCAACAGTTTTCCTCTGTACCATGCATCCTCTGGCACGATGGTGTTACGGCTCGGCATTGGGGAGCGCAGTAATCGCAGCATAAATCTGACCGTATCATAAGCGAGCTGTGGTACGGCTGTTTGTAATTTGTTCACTGTTGGGCATGTAGTAAGTATGTGTTATCTAAAATAACGATATACCTGCTGCCTCTATGCCATTTTTCCGAATGTTTATTTAGTTATACCTTACTCACACCTGTCATATTTATATAAGTCATTCTACTCTCTCTCTCCCTCTCTTTCTTTGTTGTCTTCCAAGTTGTCGGCTATTATGACTGTATCGTCGGCAAACCTAATGTTGTTAATTAAACTTCCGTTCACTTTTAAGCCGACTGTCATGTTTACCAAAGCTTCTTATGTGATTTCTCCAGAATAAGCGTTAAACAATAACGGCGAGAGTATGCAACCTTGTCTGACCCCTTTCCTTATCTCCACTTCTTTTGACACTTCTCTTCCAATTTTCACATTTGATTGTTAGCTGTAGTATAAATTTGATATCAATGTTACATCTCTCACATCCAAATTCTTGTTTTTGAGTACTTCTATAAGTCGGTCATGTTTTACCTTATCGAATGCCTTGTTTAATGGTTATTAATATTTCTATTTAATTACAGGAATATGAAGAGAAAGTTTCGTTGAAACTGATGCAAACTCTATACTTTGTAAATTATAAATATTCTTCCTTAAAACATAAAGTACTGATCCATAATGCTGAACTGGTCAAAATGGTGGACTCTAGTATAGCAACATTAGCAAAACACTTAGAGATCCTCATACACTTTTTTGCCAAAGAAAATTTGAGGGAAGAGTCTACGAGACTATTTGCGATAGTACTGATTAAACAAACTTGTATTAATGATTGGGATTATTGTTATAATAAGTTGACATTGCTGCCAACTGATTATTCAGAATGGGTAAATTCGGATCCTGACATATTTCTGAGAATATGTTATATTCTTTGCTTAGAAAACAAGTAAGTATTTAATACAAACACACATTTTTCTCATTAAAAAGTGATTCAAGCTTAATAGGTGTCTTATAGAAAATGTACCCATCCTGGAATCGACCAGAACATGATCTATCTGATTTCTTGTGATGCCGTCGTTGGAGAACCCCGTTTCTTTGTGTATTTTCTTGTGTTTGAACATTGTTGGGGTGCTGCAAAGTCTATTAACCTTGTTCCATTGTCGTTACTGACATGATGGAGACTATGGTTACCTATTGTTGGTCTGTATGCTACTTCATTCCCAATCTTTGCATTGAAGTCTCCCAAGAAATTATGCATGTCCTGCTTGGGGAGATTATTTGTCAGTTCCTCTATTTCCTCAAATAAGTTGTTTATTTCTTACTCTTTTTTTTACTCTGTCGGTGCATGGGCAGCAATTAAGGAAAAATTATGCAGTCTGATTTAACAGAGCCTTTCGTTAACGGGTTTGAAGGTTGTGAATGATCCCACAAGACTTTCCTTGACTATAAAACCTGTGTCGAGTTAGTGATCCTGTTTACTTCCGCTGAAAAATACTACAGATTTATTAATTTTTAGTATGCGTTCTCCAATACATCTAATCCCTTGTAAGGCAGTTATATCCATGTTAATTTCCGCAAAGAAGACAAAATGCATGGTTATAACAGCAAATTTACTAAGATGTAAATTGGTGCTGGAAGGTCAGATAATAGAATAAGTGATGGAGTTTAAATATCTAGGCATCACATTATCTAGCCATAGAAAGCTCGAAACTGAAGAGGAAGATCAAGTGAATAGAGCAAATAGAGCCGCAGGCTGCCTGATTGAAACAATATGGAAAAATAAAAATATCGGGAAAGAAACGAAAGGCAGAATTTACAAAACAGTCATCAGACCAATATAACATACGCGGCAGAAACAAGACCTGACACAGAGATAACAAAAAGGATGTTTGGAAAACGGAAAAAAGGAAACAGCAGAGATGAAAATATTTAGAAAAACTGATGGTAAGACACTATGGGATAAAGCTAGAAGTAGAGATGTACGACGTAGATGCAAGGTGGAGAAAGTCAAGAACAGGGTAAGAAATAGAATAGTGGAATGGAACGATCATATAAGCCGAATGACAACAAATAGAGTAGTAAAGACGGCAAGAGACGATTACCCTATAAGAAGACGACCAGTAGGAAGACCATAAAAACGATAGAACGACAACTTACTATAGGCACATTGAGAAACAGAGTCATGTTTATATAAAAAGAAGAAGAAGACTTCTCTTGACTTTTCGCATTCTTACAATATGATGAATGCTCGAACGTATTTTGGTATTTGGCCTAACAGCCGTTAAGCGATATGTTGGACATTGGCAATATGTTGGTACGTGACCACCACGTAGTTTGGAAATGGGTGATTGATTTTAACATATATAATTATTTTGTATATGTTAGGAGAACTTACCTAATAGGCAGATTAGAAAAGGAATCAGACAACAAAAAAGAAAAGAAAACGAAAAATTAATAACAACTATTGAAAAAAAAATAAGAGTATGAAATGCCTCAGACCGACACTAGGACGACGTCAGATGATATCATTAATAGGAAAAGACGAAAATGAAATCACAAGTAGAGAAAACATACTGACACAAATAGAAGAATTTTTACACAGAACTTTACAGATCACATCAACAAGATGATGAGATGAGACCAGCACGGAAATTAATAAAAAATGTTGGACCAGAAATAATGTCAAAAGTAACAATTTCAGAGGTAACTACAGCATTGGAAAACATGAAGAGAAATAAAGCTGCAGGAGAAGATAGTATTACCACAGATATGATATTAGAAGGAGGTAAGGAACTAATTGCAATTGTAACTAAGCTTGTGGACAGTTGTTTACATCAGGGCAAAGTCCCTAAGAGCTGGAACAACTCTAAAGTAATCTTAATACACAAGAAAGGTGATAGTCGAAAATTGGAAAACTACAGACCCATCAGCCTATTGCCACACCTATTTAAAATACTCACCAAAGTCATAACTACTCGACTAACAAGGAAATTAGACGAATACCAACCATATGAACAGGCAGGTTTTAGAAAAGGCTATTCAACTTCCGATCACCTGTTAACCACAAAAATATTAATAGAAAAATATAACGAATACAAGTTTCCAGTTTTCCTAGCATTTGTAGACTACGAAAAACCTTTCGATACTATAGAACACACGGCCGTAATAAACGCAATGCAAAATTGTAGAATAGACAGCAGATATATTAACTTAATAAAAGAAACTATGAACCAAGCTACAGCTACATACTACCTAAATGAAAATGAACACACGAACCCTGTACCATTAAACAGGGGAGTCAAACAGGGAGATACTTTATCACCCAAACAGTTCACCTTAGTTTTGGAGGACGTTTTTAAAAACTTAAATTGGAAATATAAGGGATAAAACATCAATGGCCGCTACCTCAGTAATCTACGATTTGCAGATGACATAATCCTGATAGCTACTGACCTACAAGAAATGCAAACCATGCTTTTAGAACTACATACCGAATCTTCTAAAATAGGACTGAAAATGAATTTAAACAAAACAAAAGTCATGCACTCCGAAGACACCGTGACAATAATAAACGATAAAGTTATAGAAAAAGTTGAAGAATATATATACTTGGGACAAAAAATAATCCTAAATAGGGAAATTCAGACTGAAGAAATAAAAAGAAGAAAGAAAGTTAGCTTGTGCAGCATTCGGTAAACTGAACTATATACTCAGAAATCAACAAATTCAATTACATCTTAGATCTAAAGTTTTTGATGCATGCATTATTCCGATATTAACTTATGCGGCACAAACATGAACAATCACAAAAAAGAATATGAATATACTTAGAGTCACTCAACACGCGATGGAAAGAGCAATGCTAGGTATATCACTTAAGGACAAGAAAACAAACACATGGATAAGACAGAAAACCAGAGTCACCGATGTGGTGCAAAAATCATTAAAGTTGAAATGGGAATACTCTGGACATGTAGCTAGGAGCGATCTAAATAAATGGCACAGATCAATTTTAACCTGGAGACCATACCAACACAAAAGACCCAGAGGCAGACCTCCTATGAGATGGACAGATGATCTAAAAAGGACTGCCGGGAAAAATTGGCTACAAGTAACGTACAGTAAAAAACAATGGAAAGGAAAACTTGAAGAGGCTAATGCTCAGATGTGGACGTGATTGGCTAGACGAAGAAGAAGAAGAAGAATTATTTTGTGTGATTGATTTAATATTCTGATTCATTTTTTTACAAAATTATATAGATGTATTATCTTTTGTCTTAATAAAATAAAACTCGCTTGTGGCTTATATTTTTTTAGAGTTATGTGGGTACCTGATAAAATTATGAAGGTTATAGCCTCGGTGATTTACTCAATTGAGCGGTATACATTGGAAACAGAAATGCTTAAAATTATTTGTTACATTTATCCCTTTATCATACCAGAGTGCATCAACCAAACTAATGCTATTTTGGGCGACGACCTGCTCATAATTATGGAAGAAAGCATTTATGAATTGGAAGATATATTATCTTTACACGTTAGCCAGCTAAACTGGATCCTGTGGAGAGCAACTCGGCCAGTGAAAATGAGAGTTATTTGTTTTTGGCTAAGAAATAATGAGAATGATATGTTAAGAAAGTATATCCTTCATTGTAAAGCTCAGAATATTTTGTTCGATATTATAAGAGACCGTTGCGTTGAGGACAGCATTGCTTTTAGGTAAGTTATTATTATTATTTAAATTATATAAATTTGTATATATTTTGTTGTGTTGTGATCTGTTTTCTCTTCCATTCTTTCAACTTTTTTTTATTTTATTTTATTTAATTCTGTTCCGTACTTTCATATTTTATTATATAGAGCCCTCGAAAAAAATCGCAATTAAGTAGGTTCTGGATTTGACACTAAAATGACATTTATGATAATAATGATCTTAATATATTTACCTCAAACGTTCCCACACTTAACGAACCTGGAAACATCCGCAAACTGTGTGACATATTAGCACAATAGAATGCTGATATTACTGCAATACAAGAAGTACGACGGACAGGCATGACTTTGGGACAGCCTTTATAGTCAATAACAAAGTCAAGCACTTGGTTATAATAGATTTTAAGCCGATAAATCCGCGAATGAGCTGCTTAAGGTGTAACTACTATTTTGCTTATCTCAGGGTAAGAACATAGGGGAGAAGATTGGGCAAACAAAATAATCGGAACTAGCGCGTACGGCACTCAGTTGGTTGTTGGAGAGCTGGGTCGTGGATAAGTTGAAGATATGGGGGTTGGATTGGGGCAACTACAAAAAAAAAAGAAATAAAGGGGTACTTACAAATACAAATACAAACCTCTTGGGACAAACAGAATGAAAATAAACCGGAAACACCTCAAGAAATTTAATATAGGGCGCCACTTGAGGTGCCTAATTATACCTATTACAACCACTAGTTGTAACTAGGGAAATAATTATAGAACATCAAAAATATAGAAAAAAATATCTTTTTCAAATAAAACTCAAAATAGATCAGAGAAACAAATTGAACGTTTGTAATAACATAATACAAAATAACAAAAACTTACATGTTCTTTGTTTACATAAAAAATTGCTACAAATATTTTGAAATGGTTCCTAGGTTATATATGGCCAATTTAGATTATCAAAATTTTATGGATATCCTTTTTATAAAAAATATTGAATTTAACCTTATATATGAAATATCTTTTTATGAAAATCAAATTAAAATTGTTTTACAAAAACAATGGATTACAGCAACTGTCATATGTCAACATAACATTTTAAATCAGAATAAAATATGACATTTTTTAGCTACGACAAAAATAATATAAAACTTTAATTATTACAAATGCTGTCTTATTTTGATGAAAGCAATTATTAAAATATTATGTAATATTAAAAAACTTGGGAAAATTAATATATTAAATTGTTACCTTAATTCACATAATCACTTAACTTTGTAAAGGAAAAACTTGCTACATTTCTGGGCATATTCTCTAACAGGAACAAGGAACCATAAATACTTACCATAAATACAACTTTGCCATAAATATTTTTTGTTTAATATGTTTTCATGTTTGTATTATTTAATGTTTTATTATTTAATACTATGTATGTTTTTTTGACTTGCTACAAACAATATTTGTATATGCTATGTAGTTAAATAAATACTCTACTCTACCATTTATATACTCAGGCAGGAACGATTAAAACAGGAACTTGGTGGAAGAATCAAGCTGACTACGGGGACATTCTATACCATACTTTTCAAAAATTGCCAGTTTCTATTGAATCGACTCTTCGATTCAAAAATTGCCCCACATTTTACATTTCAAATATGTCGCTTCACTATACATCGTAAACGTTTGCACCGTTTCAAATCTTTCTTAGACCCTACATTGTAACACGTCTGCCCAGTTTCAAATCTGTTCTTGTACTCCTTATTTGCGTTAAATTTTACAAATTCGACGCCGTATAATAACTCTCCCCCTGGTGTTTACAAAACCTAAACAAACAAAAAAATCGGACCCTCGTTCTAAACGATAAAAACAACTTTTTAAATATTCTAGTTTATTGCGTTTTAACGACGAAAGACAAATAAAAGCTCTTTTTTATATTACGGGCCATCATGAAATATAATCCTCTAGGCGACAAAACACTTGTCGAAATAGATATAACATAATACAAATTAACAAAATAGCACGTAGTTTTTAAACCGGAGTTCTACCTGACTTTGTAACAAAAGGTTATGGGATTTGAAAGTACACATAGACAAAAAATATATCCAGCGTTATTTACGCATTTAAGATTTTCGTAAAAGACAAACACAGATTTTATAGCAATCTTTATGCGTACTGACGAGATAAACGAACAGGGACGTATTATAAAATTTAAAACGCTACAAAGGATCAGGGGCAAGTTTTTTAATATTAGCCTTATTAATGTACATGTCCCAACAGAAATTCTCAGAAATGACATTAAAATAGTAATCGGTGATCTGAACGTAAAAATCGAAAGGGAAGAAATATATCTACCGCACATTGGTAAATATAGTCTCCGTAATAATACTAATTCGAATGGACATCGAGTAGTCACCTTCGCAGCTTCAAAGAACATGATCGTAGGAAGCACATGTTTTCTACACCAAAAAATACATATGGGACTTGGACCTCGCCTTATGAATTAAGGAATAACGAAATTGATCATGTGATCATAGAGGCTAGACACTTCTCCAACCTTATGGATGTCCGCACCTATCGAGGCGCCAATATTGATTCAGATCATTTTCTAGTTGGCGCAAGAATTCGGGCTAGAATCTCAAATGCGAAGAAGGAGAGAAGTACCAAAACAAGGCGCCTTAATATTAAACTCCTCAAAAATCCGCTAACGGTAAAAAGGTTTCGAAACTATGTCGAAACTAAATACATCTCTAAAGAGAATCTAAAAATTAGTGAACAATGGGAAATGTGTAAAAATTATATTAAAGACGCAGCAAATAACATTCTCAGCACTCAAGGACTCGAGGAAGAAGATCTTGGTCTGATAATAAATGGTGAGACGATCAACAATATAAGGTATGCTGACGATACAGTTCTCCTAACGGGAACGCTAGTAGAACTACAATATCTCGTTCAAAGTCTCAATATATACTGTAACAGTTACGGCTTGAAAATTAATTTGAAAAAAACTAAATTTATGGTAATCACGAAATCAAAGAACATCAGAGCTAATCTTGTAATAGACAATACAACGATTGAGCGTGTGCCCTGTTATAAATATCTAGGTGCTTGGATCACAGACGATACTGATCAAACAAAAGAGATTAGATGTAGAATACAAATCGCTAGATCAGTCTTTAATAGAATGCGCAAACTCTTTTGCAATCGTGATATCAATATAAAGTTACGAATACGAATGCTGCGGTGTTATGTCTTTTCTACCTGTTATATGGAGTTGAGGCTTGGACACTAAAACAGTTGACCATAAAAAACATCGAAGCTTTCGAGATGTGGTGCTATAGGCGCATTCTCAGAATATCATGGATGGACCGCGTCACTAACAAGCAAGTACTCCAAACTTTAGACAAAAGATGCGAAATTCTAAATGAGATAAAAACTAGAAAGATGGAATACTTGGGGCACATTGTGAGAGGTGAAAAGTACGAACTTTTAAGAAACATCATGCAGGGCAAAATTAAGGGCAAAAGAAGTGTGGGAAGAAGAAAAATATCGTGGCTTCGTAATCTACGTGAATGGTTCGGGTGTAGTTCGATTGAACTTTTCAGGCGCGCTGCTAACAAAGTCGCAGTGGCCATGATGATTTTTAATCTCCGCTAGGAGTGGCACGAGAAGAAGAAGAAGAAAGACCACCACCACGCATGAGTGGTTCGATGCTGAGTGCGAGGACATTCCAAGAAGAAAGCACAATGCATATAAACTGATGCAGCAAAGAAGAGCCCGAGAAAAAGAACAAAAATATAAAGATCTCAGAAGAGAAGAGAAGTACATCCATTGGAGAAAAGAGCGAACTTATGAAAATAGAATATTGAAAGAACTTGAGGCATTAAAAAGGAAAATCAAACAAGAAAATTCTATAAAAATCTAAATAATGCAAGAAAATAATTTAAACTAAGGATCGGACTATGTAAGGATAAGGAGGGGCATATACTCAATACAAAAGAAGAAGTATTGAAAAGGTGAGTGGAACACTATAAAGAACTACTTACTATCGAAGTAGAAGATCGAAATTAACCACCCCAGGAGCAAGCAACAATACACCATTGGAGCCTCCATCAATTCAAGAAGTACGGGATGCAATAAAACACCTAAAAAATAATAAATCTCCAAATTGCAGGATTCCAAATTTGCATTTCCAAGATTGCATTGTTCCAAAAATGTGTTTTTATTAATTTTCCCTAATTTGCGATGCTTTCTTATACACGTTTGCCAAAACTGCTGACAAAAATTGCATTCCACAACAGATCTCCTCAGCTAAGCAAAAATCCTTAGCAAATTGGTGTCTTGTACTCATATAGAGTATATCGGAAGAAAAGGAAGAAAAGGAAGAAAAGGAAAGACAGTGAAGATTTGATTTTACGTATAGTGCGTCTGTGTATCTGCCTCGGGATCTTTGTAGCGGCTATTCAAAACAGTTGAGGAGATATGTTGTGGAATGCAATTTTAGATTCCCCATGTCTCTAATAACATCTTTATCAACTTCTGTTTTGTCTTGCAATTTTTAAAAGGCACAGATTAAAGCAGAAATCTGAATTTGATTTCGAAAATCAGTTTACGGATTTATTTATCAGATGTCGCTATTGCGTCCAGATCGAAGCCATTTTATAGTTGCTTCTATTATGACAGAAAAGATTATTATCACGTTCAGCGCGTTCGATAGCCGCTCCGAAGATCTCTTTTAGGGTGAAATACTTATAAGTGGATACACAGATGCACTATACGAGAAATCAAATCTTAACTGTCTTTCCCTCCTATTACTCTTAAAGTTGATTCAAATGATAGATCAAAAAACAAGGAAAATCAAAAACAACATGGACGCAGGACGCTATAAACCAGACACATATTATGTATGTCAACATTTTTATAAAGTATATTTTGCCTTATTTCTATTTTCTCTTCACTCTAATGTTACTAAACGTTTTATGATTTTAGTGCCGCAAATCTTTTCGCAACTATTCAAGACTTTTACTTACAAATCGAGATTGCCAAATTGTTACCCCAAGCAAGTACCAGTGAGATGTTTAAACGTTTGTTAATTTCTAATCCTGCTGTACCAGCAGACCAGAACTTAGCAACTAAACTTTGTAAATTTATGTCTGGAATTATAGTTATCATGGATGATAATGAAATATTAGGTATGCTTTGTGAATACAGCAGATCTTTGATACACAGCCTTAAAGATGACAAAGATATAGTGAGTGTATTTTGTAATGAGCCTAAAACGTTTCTAGTGATTTTAAAAAGGAGCACACTGCTTGAAGATAACATAGCAACCAGCGTCATTAGGTTGATCAAAATGTTACTTCTAGTCCAGGTAAATTTATATATATATATATATATATATATTATATATATATATATATATATATATATATATATATATATATATATATTTGTAACGATCCAAAAAAAATCTATAAAGTTTAAATTGACGTACCTATTACAAATTGGCGAAGAAAAACACTTTCCTTTCTACAACCACTCATTGTTTTTTAAACTGCGTCTTATAAAACGTTTCTCCATTGGTCAGATGATAACCATAGGATTACCCGGCATTAGTCCTAATTCAGTTGGGCAATGAACATCGTTTCGAAAAATATCGTCTTACTATCTCTGACCACAGAGTAAAACATATGCCATGCCCCACGTTAGGCGCCATTAAATGTGTAACACATCAAACAATGGATACTGTTTGAAGTACAAAAATGAACAAGGTCGCGTTGTTAAGAGTCGGCAGAGCGGTGGTGGTGGCTCTAAGATACTCCCGCTTGAGATCTTGAACAGAAAGGGGATCACCTAGTGGTCCGCTAGGTATGCGATACCGGTATGAGCGATTGTTTATTGTTTTAGTTTTGAAAACATCTTTATGTTTAGAGATCAATTGTATATTTGGGCAGTAATGTTAGTGACAGGATGCAGTCATCAAAACTGTACGAGGTAATAAAAAAGTAAAGATTAATTTAGTGCAGAATGGATCATATTTATTTGCAGTGGGTATATCTTACAAAGCCCACAAGTCGCAGTGAATTTTTCCATTTCTTATGTATCCTGCAATAGCAGATTAAATTACTATGCTGAATATTTCAATGATTGTGATCTATCCAATTATTATCATTTTGATTTTTCTTCTACATGTACCCAGTGCAGTGCAGTGTTTGTGTTTTTTTAGAAAGTGTATCCCTAAGAATTTTTTGTATGTTTTAATAACCATTGTTTTATATACAACACTAAATTTGTATGTAGAATGTAACAAGCGAGAATTCTACACACCATGATACAGTGCGCAATTCCTTCAGCTGGACGTAGGTAATATATATTGAGGTAGACAAGAGAATTGTTTTAAAATGTTTATTTACACTTCTTCAGAAAAGGTTCAAATAATTAAATAGTATTGTTAAGGCAATAGTATTATCAAGGCGCCACCATCAAATCTCGAAGGGTACAATTCTTCGGACATATTATGAGAAATGAATCCAGATATGCTCTCCTTCAAGCCATCCTGCAAGCAAAAATATTTGGAAAACGAGGTCCAGGAAGAAGATGAACATCTTGGTTAAAGAACCTTAGAATCAGGTTCAATACAACATCTGTGCAGCTTTTTCGCGAAGCTGCAAATAAAGATAAAGATTGCCATGATTGCAATTATAGATTTTTTTTAATCTTTACATATTATATAACTACATAAAAGTTGTTGAATTTCTTAAAATAATATTTTCATTTCTAGCAACGTAATAGAACCCTCATACCAGGTTCACTTCAAATAGATTTCGGGTACCTCCTAATAGGATCTAATCAAAAATTGGCGAAGTGCCTAGATGTCTTACATATTCTTACAAGTACTCGACAAAATAGTTTATTCATGCGCATATCACAGAGTAGTATACAGACAATCTTTTTAAAATTGTTTTCACTTAGTAGAATTCCCGAAGTGGCCACTATAAGTTTTTACTGTTTAAGTAATATGTTGAAAATGAACACTTGGTAAGTTAACTATATTGATATTACTTTAAAATATGTGTGTGTTTGTGTTTGTCAGTTTGTGTGTGCATAAATTAAGAAAAAGTGAAATAAATTGATGCTTGAAAACATCCCAGAAAACATAAATCGGGGTAGCGTTAGTCGAGGTATTCAGAATTGTTAATTTTTTAAAAGAGCAATGTAAAATGCTGCTTACTCTGCTTACTCCTAGAATAAATGAGTTTGAATAAAAATTATTTTTTTAGGATTATTTGACTAATATTTAATTTTGTTTGGAAGGGGGTGTCATGGCTCCCGTGACCCTGACCCACCTGAGGCCAGTGGATTCGCTTTGACACTTAGCAACTTATTGCACTGAAATTATGATTGATCAAACTTTTAAGATATGGGATTTTTACCCAATAAGACACTTTTTATTAGAAATCTGACTTTGCCAGCTTATAGTACACATAAGTTTATATACATGTTGCAACTTTATTCTAGAAAGATATGGACTTAGCTACTTTTTGCACTGACCCCTTTAATTTGACTCAAGCTTAGTACAACAAACTTAAGCAATTGAACAATGTTGTAGATTCATTGAGTACCTTTTACACCACTTTCTCGTTTCTTGCTTAACATAAATTTTACTTTTTTTTTTAATTTTAGGTTGGCTACTTTGACTGAAACGAATCTTTTCATAGAATTTACGTGCAGTCAGGCAGTAGATCAGAATTCTTTTACAGAATTTCTGGCGTTTTTAACTCATTGGCTAAAATATATGAAAATGTCCTGGTTTCATGAGACTGGCACCTATGTAGCTCATACAGGAATCATAAAAAGTTACATAAGCAGAGCAAACATTTCTAAAACAATGGTGAGTATCTCTTTATGTCGAAAACATTCTTCGTGTCGGAGTATTGTATACACGTATCGATAGAAAAATTTGCTAGTGGAATAGCGAATAAATTGTATATAAGATAATCAATGTTTCACTATTTTTTCAGTACTTTATTTATCTATATACGTATTTATACCAGCGAATAGAGCAAGCGGGATTTAGAACAAATGATCACCACAGAGCATTAAAATGGTAATAGAAAAGACTATCGAATACAATTGACCTTTCGTTCTGGCTTTTGTAGATTTCCATAAAGCCTTTGACACGGTAGAATTTGACAAAATCCTGGAAATACTACAAACATGCCGAATTAACTAGTTCGGCACTAGAACAAAACATAGTTTTGTTCTCGGACAACCTCAAGGAGATATGTACAATGCTACATGAACTTCAATTAATATGTGCCAGTGTGGATCTTAAAATAAACATATCCAAAACAAAATTCATGACAAACCTAGTACCTAGCGGAAATATCAATATTGGAAACAACGAAGAAGAGCTAGTGGAAAAATACATATATCTTGGACACGAAATAAAGATCACAAGAGACAACCAAACATGCGAACTACAAAGAAGAATTAACCTTGCATGGGCAGCCTATGGGAATCTCAAAGACACTGTACGCACACCTCGGCTGCTTACAAAACTGGAACCATCGTGGTTATTTTTAAAAGTTGTTGTCTATCTATCTATCTATCTAATTAGCCTTCTTCGGTCCATCTTTGGACATAGGCCTCCCCAATCCTTTTCCATTCTTCTCTGTCTGTCGCTACAGTCATCCATCTAGAGCCCACGTGCTTCTTGATATCATCTGCCCATCTCATTTGGGGCCTTCCTCTGCTTCGTTTATATTCCCACGGTCTCCAACTTATAAGAATTTTGTTCCATCGGTCTTCTTTTTGTCTTATATTGTGTCCGGCAAATCTCCATTTCAATTTTGCAACTTCTTGTCTAAACATCCCTCACTTTTGTTTTCTCTCTTATCCACTCGTTTCTCTTCTTATCCATTAGTCTTATGTGCAACATTTGTCTTTCCATTGCTCTTTGGGTTTTTATGATTTTGTCCATGTTTGCTTTTGTAAATGTTCACGTTTGGGAGCCATACGTAAGAACAGGGAGTACGCATTGATTATATACTTTGGTCTTACGTTGCTGTGGATATCTTTTGTTTTTAAGAATGTAGCTTAGTTTGCCAAATGCCGCCCATGCCAGTATAACTCGTCTCTTGATCTCTGCTGTTTGGTTCTCTTTGTTAAGTTTTATAGTTTGACCAAGATATATATAATCCTTAACTTGTTCTTTTTCATCTTGTCCGATTCTCATTGTGATGTCTTCATCTGTATTTGTTATAGTTTTGGTCTTGCTGTAATTCGTATTAAGGCCTATCTTTCCAGCTTCTACGTCTAGTTCTCTCATCATTTCAAATAATTCTTCTTTTTTATCGGTTATCAATACGATGTCATCGGCGTACCTTAGATGGTTCAAGCGTTGTCCACAAATTTTTATACCTTTTTTTCCCATTCTAATCTTTTAAAAGTATCTTCAAGAGCCTGATTGAAAAGTTTCGGTGATATTGTATCACCCTGTCTCACGCCTCTACTTATTTGTAATGATTTTGTTCCTTCATATACTTTAATTGTTGTTTTGGCTTCCTTATATATATTGGTTATTAGTTCCGTATATCTGTGGTCAATTCGGCTGTTAATCAAAGAACTTTTCACTGCCCAATGTTCGACACTGTCGAAAGCCTTTTCAAAATCTATGAACGCCATATAAAAGTTGTTGTAAGCGACACAAATCTCTTAGGAATATAGAAACATAGAAATAGTGATTACTCTTTCAAGCTGACATATTACATAGAGTATAACTCACTATTTTCTACAAATTTTGCCGGCTTTTTCGACTAAATTAAACACGTGTGACGCTCTGTCTACCGGTCTCTTCTCTAACCTTGCAAAGGGCCAACCCAAAATTCTCGTTAAACCGCTTCAAACGATATCGCTAAACGACCTTGAATCAAACAACTTTTAAAATTGTAGACACACACAAGTATTATATGGATTATTTAACTTTCAGCGGTAACTGGAATTTGGAATGTTGGGTCTAATACATTGGCCTAAGGACGTACTAAAAAATTTTTATACTCTGTATAGTAGATAGTTTAAGGAATTTTTTTTGTGTTATAACTATAACCGCTTTGTGAACATTATCATCGTCATTCTTTTTAACTTTATCTTTATTATGGGTCACTCCTCTTATTACATTTTTTCATAATTTTCTATCTTGAATCATACCAATATCAATCTCCATTACCGATATATCCTGCCTAAGGGTCTCCCTCCGGATCATCTTTGATCTTCCTCTGCTACTCTCAGGAACTTGCCAATCAGCAATTCTTCATAACTGTGCATATCAACTTTTACTATGGTTATAGTTATGATTATTTCACTATTGTTAGTTAAAGCGCTAAAAAATTTTTTATAATCTGTTGTCAGTGTTAAGAGTGTTAATGTAATTTATCTGTTGTTGTTTATTTGTCTACTTATTAATAATTAATTCTTTTATTTTTTCAGAAAACTCATTTAATTCGACGTCTCAGTCTTCTAAATAGACCGAGAACTATTCCAATTACCAAGCATACAAGAGTAGCGTGAAAGACATTTCCGATATGCTGATTATTTCGTTTTTAAGAATCAATTATTTGTATCTATATTTTGTTTATTGAGTTCGAAAAAAATTGTGTTACCTGATTATAAAATAAACTGTTTCCTTTATATGTTCATATTTTACCAAATATGACCAAATATATTTGGGTAATATATTAGAGGAAAGGCTGCAAATATGGGCTGGTTTTGTAATATGGGCTAGGTAGGATTCACAGCTATTCGTTGCAGATCTCTACATTTTGACTATTGCAAAAAAGTTAAACTATCACCGTAGCGATGGCGCCACAGTGGTAGACATTTTCCAGTTTATATCCAGTTTTTCGGGTAAGTTGATAAATTCCAATATTTGAAAATAAACACTAATTTCAAAAAAACGTCTGTGTCACGTTGAAGCTCTATAATCAGTCTTTGATATAATGCTAATAAGTTTTCTTCAAATTGACTACTTTTATACATAACCTCTTCTGTTGTGCAAAGCAAGCGTGTTTACAATATGGGCTATGCCCCTGTTTTCATTATGGGCCGGTGGCCCATATTTAGAACAATGTAAAACATACTTCAATTGTTTCAGGATGTCAGAACAACAGCTGAAAGAAGCTAAAAAAAGAAAAAAATGGGACGAGAGAGATATGGAACGTGCAATTATAGCTATCAGGCAGCACGAAATGGGTACGCTGAAAGCTGTAAAAATGTTTAATGTCCCACGTTCTACTTTGCAACGTTCTGTAAAAAAACTTGATCTAAAGCCAATTGAAGCTGCTCAAATAAAGTTAGGGCGTAAAGCTGTCTTAGGGAATGATCTTGAGGACGAGTTGGTGCGTTATAATTTGTAAATGGAAGCTAAATTTCATGGATTAACCATAAACGATCTTAGGAGGATGGCGTATGTCTTAGCTTACAGGAACAATATGAAACATCCGTTTGGAGGTAATACGGCAGGCAGAGCCTGGCTGAGGCTTTTCCTGCAACGCCATAAACAGCTATCAGTACGACGACCAACGGGAACATCATATTCACGAGCAAGAGGCTTTAACAAAGAAAATGTCGCATCCTTTTTCAATGTTCTGGAAACAGAATATGACAAACAATTTTACCCACCTGAATGTATCTTCAATGTGGACGAGACAGGTCTTACGGTTGTACAAAACAAAATTGCACAGGTAGTAGGCCGAAAAGGGAAACGACAAATCGTTTATCATTAACTTCTGCTGAAAGGGGCTCTCTGATAACCGTCGTGACGTCGATGAGCGCTGCTGGCCAATTCATCCCACCAATGATGATATTCCCACGTAAAAATATTAACCAGCAACTGATGAAAGGAGCTCTTCCAGGTTCCATCATGGCAGTACATCCCAGTGGATGAATACAAAGCAATATTTTTACAAGATGGTTTCAACATTTCATTGACACAGTGAAACCCACAAAAAAATCACCAATCCTGCTTATTATGGATGGTCATTACAGCCATACACGTAATATAGATGTCATAGATTTAGCTAGAGATAATCATGTCACTATAATTGTCTTGCATCCCCATTGCACCCACAAACTCCAACCATTGGACAAAACTTACATGGGTGTTCTTAAGGCTTACTACAGCGAAGAGATCCGAGTCTGTTTGCGCCACAATAATCGTCCACTAAGTGCATTTGATGTGTCAGAGCTCTTTGGGAGAGCTTATTTGAAATGCCAAACTGGACAGATTGCTGTTAATGGATTTAGAGCTATAGGGATTTATCCCTTGAATAAAAACATATTTACAGATGTCGATTTTATGGCAGCTGAAATTGAAGCAGAAAATACTGTGACAGCCGCACCTGATGATGCGAGTGATGAGGATGATAAGGTGATCGTCGTTTCAACCGCTGCTGTCAATTCAAATGAACCTACAAATTGTGACGATAACTCTATCAATTTTGAGAGCACACCAGATTGTCGTTCCAGCCACAATAATTTATCATCTAATTCTCCCACTCTTCCATCTGGGCCTAATAAACAGCTTGAAACTATTCCTACAAGTAACACACAGCTTAATGCTATTTCTGCAACTAGTTCACAGCTTGTCGCTATTCCCACAACAAGCTTTTACAGAAAGTCTGCCACGCTTTCCGGAAGACCTTGTGCAGAGCTTTGTGTAAAAAGAAAAAATTATTTGAGAATAAGCCCATTCCATCAATTCCTTCCACATCTGGGTCTTCAAGAACATCTCTGACAACACTATATGATATTTCTCCTGTGCCATTATTGAGAAAAAAAAACCTCCAATCGTGGGCGTAAGCCAAGTAAGTGTTCAGTGATAACCTCTTCACCTTACAAAAATGAACTGATCCAATCTCTCAACAAAGACAAAGGGAAGCAAAACGAAGTAGGAAAAGGCAAAGAAAAAAGAAAAGGAAAAAAAATGAAAAAAAGGAAAACGTAAGCAGGTTATAAAAGTCACAAAGAACCAAAAAAAGAAATCGGGTTCTAGTAGCGAGGATGAAGAGCAATATATGCCTGCAGATGATGAGAGCGATTACAATGAGTTTCCTTCTACACAGCCTACACAAGACGCAGGTGACGTAACGTGTATGTTTTGCGAAGCACTTTTTTCAGAGGATAATCTTGGTGAAATATGGGTCAAGTGCTTCATGTGCCATTTGTGGGCACATAACGAGTGCGCTGGGGCCGAAAAAGAAGAATATGTGTGTGACTTTTGCAAATAGATTTTCTCCCAGTAAAAAAAGAAACACACACGTCATTGTCTATGAGTTATTTGATATGTTTGTATTTTAGATATTAAAATATATTTTTCACGCATTTATCTCATTTCACACAAATTTAAAACATATTTTTCGGGGTAGCCCATATTTAGGATCATTATTCAAACGACGCAAAAGTACAATTTTTCATTATTTGTACGTTTAAAACAGTTATATATATTTTTAATCAATTTGAACTTTGGGCAGGTTATAAGTAACTAAATATAGGTATTCTTACGTACCTTTGGAATTGAAATAGAATTTTTATTCTTTTTTTACAAAGAAATACAAAATGGGTAGCCCATATTTGCATCCTTTCCTCTACCATATATTACCAAAAACTTAAGACAGCTGTAAGGGTGGTGTACACACACTAAATATTACAAGTCAAATCCCTACCTAAATCCTATTTAAGTCACATTTAATCAATAGAGGTAAATACACATTTTAACATGTTTTATCCCTGAACTACGTACAATTCTGTCGTACGTAATTTGGAATTTCGAGAAATTTTTTCCAGCAGGACAGGACATACTGCTGTCAAATAATGACGCACGTATCAGAAACAAGACCGGACACAGACAAAACACAGAGAATGATGGAAACAGCAGAAATGAGAATAATCAGAAGAATTACAGGAAACACGCTGAGAGACCACCGAATAAGGAGTGGCGAGATCAGAACAAAATCACATCAGTAGAATGGTGGATATAAGTTGCTAAAATAGCTAAGGATAAATCAACAAGTGGTAGAAGAAGTATCGGCCGACTGTGCAATAGATGGAGTGACAATCTTACATAGAAGCAACAACCCACTAAAGACCAAGCAAAATTGCTTATATAAAGGAATAATAAGAAGAAAAACTTCCAGTAGTAGCATTTTGTTTTCACCCTGTAAATCATAATTTCAAAAATAGTTCAAATACTTTTGCGTTTCAAATATATGAGTATACATAACCTCAAAAGTCGGTTTATAGTTTTTGAATGCTGCTTTCAAGAATAATTGCTAACTGTCTTGCTCTTCAATTCGTCTTTTCTCTATTTCACCTATAGAGATTTTAAAATAAATGCTAATTCTCCGACCCGATTAACCGACCATCTACGCAGAGAATAAAAAAATCCACTTAAGAAATTTTCATTTCATTCTCGTGAGAAAATAAATTTTTACATGACTTTACTTCCCTTTTAGCGACCGAGAAGGTATGTCGACTTCATATTGGGGGTCCGAACCAAAATGGTTGGTTCGTATTTCGTTCAATTGAGTACTTTTAGATAAAAATGAGCAGAGTTCTTTGTAAGTTTTTAACTTAATTTATAACATGTCAACACCGTTTGAAACAAAATGCTGAATACTTACTAATGGTGCACAAAGAAAATATATATTCCTGTTTTATATATTTTTTCATATGTATTTAGTGCAGTGCAGTGCTTTGTTGTTTGTATTGGGTATATCCCTAATTTTTTTTACGGTTTCTTAATAACCTTTGTTTTAAAACTAAATACTTAATAATAATAATAAACAGAATTCATATTATTATGAATATGAAACAAAAATAAATTTTTAAACTGAGACTCAAAGATTCTACCGGTTGCCGATATAAAATAATTAAAGTATAAAAAAGTACTCAGGTTTAGTTTGTTCTGAAGGAGTCGTTCAGTTCTCCAGGAAGGGTTCCGATATTTGTGGAAGTTATCTTTGTGAAATGGGCCCCAAAATTATATTCTGATACATCAGTGGATTTAAGCTAGTATGGGTGGTTGCTGATTGTTTCCTCAAGGTAGTGTGGTCGGCTGTTGTTTGCTTCCCAAGGTAATGAAGTAGGTTATTGCTTGTAGGTCTTATATAGGATGGAACGGCTACTAAAAATATTTATAATTTAGTGAGGTTGCTTTTTAATAATATAGTACGGGGGATAAGTACCAAGCGGAGCTTGGTATCACGTTCAACTGGTTGATTGAAACGTTACACAATAGATAAAAATGTAAACACATATATTAATTTGGAATGTTAAATTTAAAGAGTGTAATAAAAACAGTTGGTTGCTAACAAATTTGTACTGTTTAATGTTTCTCATAATCTTCCTTTCTTTTTAAGGTAATTGTGTTTGTTTGGTTGTTTGTTTCTCGTTTTTTTTTTGACTATGTATGCATTTTGGTTTTAAAGAGAGGTTTAACATATTTGACAACTATTCAAAATCTTTCTTTAACCAACCTTCTCATATGTGAAGTGTTGAATTTTCTTTATACC